AAGCCCAGGGTCTCCTTCTCAAAGACCTTATATCTATTTTTTTGAAACATAATCAAACAGAAAGATAGTGCCTGAATCTTCCAATTTCATGGGAGGATAAGAGCCCAACTTCTTCAGGGGCCTTACTGACTCTTTAGCTATGGCCTCCATAAAAACAGAGCGGATTTGTGTTTCTTGGCCAATTAGTGAACATACCTATGAACACACCCCCTACCTCATTCTGCATTCCTCATCCCAGCTCTTGAGCATTCTCTAGTCCTTTGTTTCAGTTTTGACTGACTTCTTTCCTCTTTCTCCTGTTGTAATATTCTTGAAGAAAGTCTTCTTTGCCTGTGTAATTTAGTCCAGTGTGATTTTTGCACACCAGGTCTGTGGGCTAATGTTATTGACATTTTTAAAGAATTATCTTACAAACAAAAGTTCCAGGTGTTTTAAAGTTCCATATATTTATATTATATGAAAAAAAAATATTTCTGACCCAGCTTCTCAATACCTGTAGGTTGTAATGGTATACAGGTACAAGCTAGAGTCTGGGTCAAGAGATGATTGACTAGCTCAGAGGTTAGTGGTTTTGGTAACGAGGGAATGTACTCAATCCCTTTAACAAGTAATGGTTTTCTCAATGATTGAAAATTAGGTATTCTCACCTGCCTTGTATCACCTTCACTTTGGAATCATTTCTGCTAAGGAGTCATGGGTATTTGTCTAATATGGGAAAATCCTTTCCCTTATTCACCACTGGCTGAAAATTGACAGTTGTTTAAAAATAACTCTCATTTCAGCAGTCTTAATTTCTTTACTTGTGATAAGGCTGAGCCTATGTGTGGTTTCATCGTTTCATGACTGCAGTCATCTTGAAACATAACCACCATGATTGCCCCAGTTTAACCCTCGGCAGTTTTTCCTGTGTAGTTTACCAGAAAATGCTTAAGTACACAAAACCATTAGAGTGGTATGTGGACCCTGGCACCAGAGATGTGCTGTCTCTTTGATATTAGCTTAAGACAAGGCATTCTGTCTAGCATGAAATCACTTTTGTCCTGACCAAAATATATGTCACTCCTTCTGACCCAAATTGCGGGGATCCACTTGGTGTTGCTGTCACTTGGCACCAAAAGTGTCTGAAAGTCTGCCAAAAAAATTGCATGCTGTGCAATTGCAATCCTGTATCTGTTTTTATTTTTTTGTTTCTTGGGGCCAGTTTTCATGCACTAGAATTGCATAATTCTGAAAGCACTACACTTTTGGGAGACAGCAAATGTCAAGAAATCCTCTCACCCTTTTGAATGCTAGAGACTTAATTACTGCAAAGAATCACCCTTTAATATTTATTAGATAAGCCTCATGGATGAACTTGTTTACAAACACTATGACAAGGTCAGATGGAGACCCTAAAACTTTCTATCCTTTGTCCCAGAAATTATTAGCTGAACCATATGTCCACACTCACAAATCTGAACAAAATACTTGATAACTTGACAGCACGTTAGCTGGGCTCCTTGCTTTCCCCAGCACTCTGAACTTCGTACTGTCCTTGAGTTTAAACAAGTACTGGGAGCTTAACCAAGAACTAGGAAGTAGAGCAACCTCTCCTGACCCACCTTTCAGAAAGGACTGACCACAAAGAAAGACATTCCCCTTCAATGCCCTGATCACACCACTTCTTTGCCCCATGTGTACACCCCTAGCTCTTTCTAGTCTTCTTCACTACTCCATATCAAAGAAAAGTTATTTCTGCCTAACCTCTGAGATACTTATAGATCCTGTAATTGGAGCATATTCTCCTTTCAAATAATAACCTTTCTTCCATTGCAATAATCTTTTCAAATAAAGTCTCTTCCTCCTTAAGTCTGGATTTTATTTTATTTGACACATGAAAATTATTGTCATTTTCATTGGTTCCCAGGTTTTCTCCCTTTTCCGTATTCTTTGGTTCTTGATTCTGAAATCTCTTCTACCATCCCAGTTGCAAACCTGACTACAGAATTACCTCAGGGCAAGATGATTTTGTCACCACGGAAAACTTTATAGACAGGTTAATATTAGTTTCATGTTTTTCATTAACATATGAAAAAATTTATAGGAGTTGATTAATTGATGTTGACATGGATAATTTTGGTAAACTAAAATCTGACAAAGTTATTCTAAAAAACTGAGGATGATTCGGAATTTTTGAACTAAACATTCTGAAGTAGAGTCTTATTAGTTGTGAAGTTTTAAATTTGTAGTTATATGTTTTTACAGAGAATTTTTAAAACAATCTAAAAATGCAAGTTGGCCTAGGTCTCCAGTTTCCTGTTCCTTTTTTGCAAGTGCAAATAAAACCACACAATGGACTATAGAAATAGGTCTACTTAGGTTAATCCAGAAGGAACAAGTGGAAATACCAGGATGTCATGGAAATAATCATACATTAGGAATGAGGCTCTTGTATTGGTTCTGTTATCTATTTATGGTCATCTTCAGTAAGTCACTTAACCTCTTTTGAGCCTCCATTCTTTAGGATAATTAATTTCTACCTCACATATTAATCCTAAGGACACAAAGAGATAATATATGGTAATAAGCATTTATAAATTCTTAAATAATATCATTGCTTGTTTCACAGGTGTCTCAAATATCTAATAGGTTATAAGCCACCTAAAACAGAGTTCCTATAGTACCCTAAATATTTAACATAGGAATAAATAAATGACAGTTGCTTAATAAGTGCTTTACTTTCAAGTATGTGACTTGGTATGTATGACTGTAAACAACATTAAATAAATTCCACAAATAATTCAACAAATATTTATTGTGTGAACATAATTGTGCTAGCTCCCTTAAGAAACACAATGGACCAGACATGAATTTTGCCCTCTAAGCACTTACAGTCCTACAGTCCATCAGAGGATATCAGAAATTTGTATATGATAGTAGATTTTTAAAGCTCTAACCAAGGTACAGATGCAGTGCCATAAGAGTTCCCAGGAGAAATTATTTTGAGCTTGAAAAATTCTGAAGAATGGGCTGGGGTTGTGGCTCAGTGGTAGGGTGCTTGCCTAGCATGTGTGAGACACTGGGTTCAATTCTCAGCATGACATATAAATAAATGAATAAAATAAAGGTCTATTAACATCTGAGATATTATATATATATATATATATATATATATATATATATAATTCTGAAGAACTTCATGAAGATGAAATTTGAGATGTACTTTGAAACAGAGGTAAAATTTAGATATGGGAGAAGAGGAAGAACTTCTAGTCCAAGGGCACAAAGACCAGACAAGTTGTGACTGCAATCCTAAATGAACTGTCTAGGAGTGGAGTACTGAACCCTGTGTAGGGGTCACCTGAAGCTCAACGTGGTAGAGTGTTTGTGTGTGTGTGCCCATGTGTATGAGAGAGAAAGAAAGTGCGCTTGAATTTTAAAAGAGGTGGGCTAGAAGAGGCTCCCTTGCATTATGATTTCTTGATACTTGTCAACCTGTACTTTTTTTTTTTTTAATATTTATTTCTTAGTTCTCGGCAGACACAACATCTTTGTTGGTATGTGGTGCTGGGGATCGAACCTGGGCCGCACGCATGCCAGACGAGCGCACTACCGCCTGAGCCACATTCTCAGCCCCATCAACCTGTACTTTTATCCTTATAGATTAAAATGCAAAAACAAACAAACAAACAAACAAAAAACCCCACCACCACTGTCACAACATCCTTCTTAGAGTAACCCAAACATCCATCTACCCTAACATCTTAGGTATTGGCAACTTCTGGTTAGTTTTCATATGCTTATATAATATTGAGTTACTAGAACTAAAGAAAAGTCAAAGTGAAAAAAAAGTGGAAACATTTATAGCTGTGAATATTTAGAAGAAATATTAGCCTTATACATTGAATTTTTTAAACATACTGAATTTATGTTTGCAAATGTGCTCAGTGTGTTTTTTTCCCATCAGGATTTTATAATTTGTAATGAATCAGGATTTTATAATTTGTAATGAATGACTCCCTGTATAGTATGCATTCACAGCTATAGGTTACTGACATGAAAATGAGCAGTATGAATTTAAATATACATACATATATACACATGCCTACACACAGATAATATATATGTGTGTATGTTTGTATATATATATATATATATGTATTATATATGGACAGAGAAGATTTATTAAATATTATTTCTATCATCAAAAAGTCATCTTAGAAATTCAATAAGCTATACAATTATAATTAGCACGAACTTTATTTTATTGAAAAATCAGTCTTTAGTTATACTATTTTTTGCATAATGATGTCACTTTATTTTTAAAATCTGATTAAAAATATACTTTTAACATCTTGACACTGAGAACATGGTAAGGATCTGACAGCTCAGCCTGAGCTGTGTGGATTTTAAGGCTCCAGCTCAGAGGCGCACTTGAGTGTTGAAGCACCATCATCTGCCTTACAACCTGAGTGCGGGTCCCCAAGGTCACCAGGAGCAGGAACTGACCCACAGGAGTTCATACACCACAGACCACACAGCTCAGGCTTAACTGAAAGCTAATCCAAATACACATTCCAGTCTCCCTTCCACCCTTTCTTGCTCCAGACTGAAGAGCACAATCTCCAGCCATTGAAAGGACCAGGAAATTGCCCAAGCCCTTCCCACTACATCTTGTTTAATGTGTCTCAGAGGGAGCAAGAAACATCAGCAGCACAGCTCTTATATGAGAGAGGATACTGGGACTGTGCAGTTGGCTCACCTCAGGCTTTCCACTTTCAAACTAGAGGTAAATTGTTTCATCAGATTCACCCGCGCCCTTTCTGATTCTGCTAGAGAATATACAGATAAGATTGTTTTAAAATCCTGAATAAGTTCAATTCTATGCTATGAAGAACTGTAGTATGAGTAGCTTCTTCCATGAAACATGCAGCAAACTTAATTACTTAAAACATTTTTTCCCTGTATTATCTTCTGTATTGTAACTTCCTGTTTTTTTACTAGTTGTCTTTTTTTTTCCCACAAGATAGGGAAAAAAAAACCATATTTATGTAAGAGTATGATGGCAGCAGATTTCTGACAAGTCCCATTTACATGGTACATTGTTCCAAAGGGTGTTTAAGTAGAAAATACAGAAACACTATACAAACCTATTATTACATTTGAGAAATCATTAGCCTCAAAGGAGTAATAACGGTATGCTATTAAAACTGTGAATACATTTTCAGTATCTGTATTGAAAAAAAAACTTTATAAATATGTAAATTTTTGTTCAACAAATCCAAAATAAAATGCACTAAAAAACTGATATGTAGACAAAAGTTTATTTACACCATACAACATTTTAAATATTTTATACACAGCTGCAGCAGAGAAAGCTACTCAGAGCTTTCTAGAGAAAACTGCAATAATAAAGATGTGAAATATATTATTCATATAAAAGTGAGATTATTACTTTATTGCATTTAAAGCAATGAAGAATGTAGCTCAACAAACATTCATTTAATGACAAAAACTTTGCTTTTATATTATAAAGTAAAAAGTGTAGTAATGGCCAAACAGACTGTTATAAACTTTAAAAACTGCATAAATATATACATTGTGCTTCATGGTGAAGTTTTTTGAAAACTAAACCATATGAAGCGGTTACAACATGAATCGTTGCTTGAGGTTTATCTATAAAGATTACCTTACAAATCCATTCCACAGGTACTTACAACACAGGATGGTCAGAACTGTACACCTGGTGTCTCTCCACTAGCCTGACTAGTGAGGAATTACCATAGGAAAACACCACTGACGTTTGGCACATGAAGGTCCTGACACAGGATAGTCACATTGTCCAGATAGAAATGTCAGGCTTCCCAAGTCTAAAGGGTCAGTGCATTAGGTTATTGTGTCTTTGCCTCAGTTCATTTTGATTTTGTTAAACTTCTGTTTGAAAGTCACCTTCTTGCACATCCAGAGGCAAATTCAGACACTTCTCCCACTCTGCTGGCCTCAGTTCCAAAGCATCCTTGGCTTCTGTGTCTAAGACATTGATTGTGGTGTAATGTTGGTATTCACTGGGGTTTTTGAAAGTTTCCCATGGATTCTTGTTTGGTGCTGGGTTTTCCTGTTGAGAAAGGAGAGCCATTTATTTGATGATTAACACTGCAACTTGCTGAAGTTTTCAGGAAGAGGACATGTTTGTAATCTTAATTTAGTTTATATTATTCAGAGATGATTTGAAATTATCCAACTGCAGGAGATAGTTTTGATATGTTTTCATCTTCTTTAAGTTATCCTACAACATGTCAGGAGTTAGAGGAAGTGAATAATACTACAGAAGGCAAAGTAGATGATATTTCAATTTGAGTATCATGTGAAAGAAATGTTAGTATGACTACATGTTTGAGAAGGAATCACAGGATTCTCCCCTTTTAAGATACCATTTCATGAAAAATGTATCCAGCAATATAAGGGGCCTTTCAAAATGCCTACAAACCATTATTCCTTATTATTTCTTATAGTATATGCCTTTTATTTTCTAAGACTCAAGATTTGCCCAATTATGACTCCACTCAGTTCTATCCTGTAGATGTTCAATACATAAACAAATAGACTCCTTTTAGGTTCTTTTGATCAATATTCTGCTAAGATTAACAATGACTTTGCTTTATTTTAAGTAAGTGTTGCTTAAAGATTTCTGCAAAGCAGGAGAATCTGAATAAGCTAAGAATAATCAGAGAACAAGAAAAAAATCATGATTAAAAGCTTTTTAGAAAAAAAAACAACTAAAACATGAAAACAAGAGTGGGTGACCTGATGGATACTCAATTATGCAGAATATTGATTAAAGTTGAATGTATTTATTGTTGCAAGAGAACATGCCAAGCAAAAGTTGTCACTTTTACATGAGTCCAGGTTTTAATTCAACATAGAGATTTACTGAAATTAATCATTTTTCATGACAATTTAACTCTACTTCACTAAATAATTTTTCTACTTTTAATTTTATCCCAACAAAATCTATCAAGCTCTAAAAGAATTTCTCTCTTAAAAAACACTACCCTTTAACTTCTATTATCCCTTCATTTCTATTCTTCAAGATTATTAAAATGGTTTTAAAAGTCTACCATTCTAATTGTATTCTCATTTTTCACTACAAAACATTATGCCTAATGAAAATATCAGTTCTTGCATGAGTCCATCCTCCTCTCACAAAATCTGATCTTTAGCTTATTATAGTCACTTACCAAATGAAACATAAAATAGGTTATTGAATTGCTATCAGGGTTCTACTTGGCATATTATGCATCTCAAGCTATGCATAAGAGAGATGGTTTATAGAAATAGTTATCATAAGATTTAAATCACTAAATTCCTTAATAACTTAGATGTTTTCAAGACTTATTCTTATTTATGAGGACATAGAAGAAGAGATAGTTAATAGTAAAATCTAATAAAAAGTTAACTTTTAGGATCTATGCAAGGGATTAATTCTGCTTTAGTCTAGTATCCTAAAGACTCATGAATTTGTAGCTCTCTCTTCCTATCTTTCCATTCTTCTTTCTCTCCCTGTCTGCTTCCCTTCATCTAAAATTTACTTATCAGTTGCTCTGCATAGGATATCATATGTAGCACTAGAAAGGATAAAGTGATAAATCAAGTATGTAAAAGCATCATGGTTCACAGGGAATTTAAGATTTAGAGCCTGATATATACCAGTCCAAGTTCCAGTTCTTACACTTCAAAAGAATTAACTGAACAATTGATTCAACTTTTCTGAACCTTGGCTTGAATATCTACAAAAAGAGATATGCTTTGTATTGTGGACCAAAGGAGTTGGCAAAATATGTGGATCAACATCTACTTTGTAGATATGCAACAATTTGTTAAGCAGTGATAGAGCATAGAATAATGCCTGGAGAACTCAAATCTTCACTACTTCGTAATCATACTTACAATGAAAGGTATCTATAGTTAAATGAAAGTGTAGAATATATATTTTTTTTTCAGAAAAAGTGTTCTGGGCTTCCAAAGGCAGGTATAGAGAGGCTTCCTTTTATGGGAAGTGCATAATCCTTCCTGAGAAGAGTGACCTTTGGGCTGGCACCAAAGGGGTTCACCATGAAGACGTGTGTGGTTGGAGGTCTTGTGGTTGAACAGGTGTACTAGGAAATAAAAATTCAGAGCAGGTGGAGATATGAAAAGAGTGGCCTATTTATTTTAGTTGGAATGAGAAAGAATAGAAGAAGAAAAAAAAGGCATTAGGTAAACTGGAAACCAGTTCATAAGAGATTTTGACTGTCAGGCTATTCAATTTGGAATTTATTTTGTAAGCAATAGGAAATCATTGAAGGTTTGAGAGCAATATGTGACCTGAATCATCAATCATCCACTGAAAGATTCACAGAGATGAATTCTGCTGAATCAAGTTCACAGAGTGAACCTAGCTACCTTAGATAAGAGCTGTTTTTAAGTTTAGTTTGACAGAAAGTCCAATTAGTTGAACCCAGAAAGCATTTGAGGTATATAAAGTGCAAGTTTGTTTGCTTGGAAAACATGGGCTCCATTCTGTTCTGAACCAATGTTGTTTCCTTTTTTATATTTTAAAGATCAAGCTCCAGGGATACATGGACTAAGGTGGCTAATTTTAAGCTCTGTCAGAATATCTACATTCTATTTCAAAGAGTGTTATTGTCAGTGTGTGACCTAATACTTTCTTGAGAGGTCTATCAGCATGTAAGAAATTAATATTTAAGGTTGATTTTCTTGAACATCTCCTTTGGCCTACCAAGGCACTCCCAACTTATCTATGGTTTTCATCATCTTTTCTAACTTTTGGATGCCCTTTAGGCCAGAAGACCCTATCCTTTAAAGGTGAAGAGCTACCATACCCAGCAGCCAGGGTAGGGACAGGACCCACAGGGAGTGGTAAGGAGCTGATGGTCAGAGGATGATGCCCACAAGCTACTCATCTTCCTACATGTTGGGTGTGATACAGGAAGTCTGTAGACTTTCATAAAAAGAAGGGCAACACTCCCAATGGGTCCCACTTAACGACAAACTGTGCAGTAGTCTGAAGGGATCATTGCATTTGGCACGGAGGATTGCCAAGGCCAGGAAAGGCCTCAATGGATGCTGGAATTCAATGATGGAAAATCCAAGCAGTTAGTTTAAGTTCTTGAATTCATGCAGCTGTTTGTTTGTTTTGAGCTCAGATACAGAATGTTAAAAGGGTAATAATTATAAATTCACTATAAACCAGCATGCAAGAAGCTTTCAGAAATGCTAATTCTCTTAGGATGCATCCAGAGAAATAGAGTATTAAATACATATGAGAATTCAAAGCCACCCCAAATATCATAGGGCTGCCCAGCATTCCCCATGATTCATTGGTATAGAAGCATGTGAGCTGTTCACTTGGGGTAAGTCCCTCCTTTCCTTCACCCATCCTTTTCAATTTTACTCCTTTTTCCTTCTTCCTTCCTTTTTTCCTTCATTCCTTCCTTTTCTCCTTATTTCCTTCCTTCCTTCTTTCAATCCACCAATAGTTGAGGACAAAGTTAAAGAAAGTATGAACATTTTGTAAGAAGAAAAGTTAGGAGGAGCTATTTGGAGAGAAGAGATTTTTGACAGTGAATGGTTTGTAAGATGCACTCAAGGTAAAAAGAGTTTCATTTCTTTGAACAGTACCTCTTCTTTTATAGTGTTCTTTAAATGTTTTCCTGCCTAGAAACAAGAAAATGACTAAATGGTATTTTGGTTTCCCTTTGATTCCCCAAATTCTATTGTTTTACATAATTAGCATCATTTGTAGTGGTAGGCAGGTGTTGTGAATCAGCAGCTTTCTCCTCCCCAAAAAAGGAAAAACACTTTGAGATTTTAAAAAATGTTTTTCTCCACTCAATGACGCAATTTTCCATTAGCAGTGTGGCACTACAAACTATGTGACTGAGGTAAAGATAATGAACTCACATGTTCATTATTAATCAAAACTGAATAAGGAACTCGTTTTGTGTTCTCAGATATTTGGGACAGTATTCAAGCAGCAAAGACAACTCCATCCTTCCTTGCTCCCAACCTCCCAAATGGTAAATATTTATAAATCTCTTTTAGAAAAAGGCATGCTGCTGCAGAGATGTGGTGTAATTAGTAGACTATTTTGGTTGTCAGGAAACTGAGATACAGATATTTGTGCCATTAATGATTTAATAACCAGACCGTAGAACAAGGGGAAATTACAATCATATTATAGCAGTCAGCCAGCTGTATCTGTTGCATAAGCCTTTCAGATTTGTAAACATAACCCTCCCCTTTTTCCAACAAAACAAATGAAGTTTCTTCAATTTATTTCAATGTTAGCTTTCAATACTTGAAAATGAGTAGCTAATGTGTTGAGGTCTAATATCAATGGTGTGATTCTCATTTGCCTGCTAGCTAAAAATTGATGGCTTAATATTAGAAGGAGTAGATGAGAAAGAACCCCTCATTACACAGGAAGTATCTTCTATATGCCTAGCATTGTGTTGTTGATAACAAATAATGCAACAACGCATTTTCTGCTTTAGGGAAGAAAATAGATTGGTATATACATGGACTATTTAGAGACCAATTAAGAGTTAAAGTGTATGGTATTTTTATAACCTTCATTTAACAAGCACAGATTGAGATATCATAGCTATGCAATAAATCTACAGCAACCATTTACTGATAACATACCATAACCAGCATCATACCAGTACTGAGAGAAATAAAAACAAAACATAAACATACATGGCTTTTTTTCTATCCATCTCTTCCCAAGCTAACTTCATTAATCAGGATTCTAAAGTTATGACTCATAAAATATGAATGGAAGGATCACTAGACTGAGAGTGTAATCAAACACCACGTACTTTAGAACTATATGTATTACAGCTATACTATAGATAATATATTATCCATATTGTCTCAGACAGATACATGGGAGAGGGAGAATGAGAGAGAAAGGTGACCAGAGGTCTCAAAGAGAAGGATTGCCCAAGTTTAGAGCTGCAAAGAGTGGACACAGAGCACCTCATCTGAAGTGAAGAAGAAGTGGTGTACAATGGCTGTCCAAGTCTCCTCTTAGAGCTGAGCCTCAGCTTCCTCACCTGTAAGGTGTAGCTTGCTCTTGAAAGCTTTATGAGGATTGAAAGACTACATATTACTACTGTTTTCCATCCTCATTTTAGGAAGAGGAAATTGAGGTTTAGAAACCTGAGTTCTGTAACTTGCTCAGAAAGTGGTTGCACTTTCAACTTGTTTTCTGATTTCTAGAGAACTGGTCCAGTGCGCTTAAAAATAATTATGAAATCTTCTATAAAGCCATGCACATAGTAATTGCACAGTGTTATTTTATTTAATGAACTCCTATGTTGAGATTGTAATAAGTGAGAAGAGAATTGTTACAATTAACAACCAATATCCTTGATATTGATGTGGGTCCAAAATTCCTATCACAGAACAAGTGAATCTCCTGAAGACAAAAACCTACCATCCTGGTTTGAGGTAACAACTCATATTTATGAGATTGTCACATTTTAGGCCCTTAAAATGGCAGACATTAAAATGAAAATGGAAAATTTGGTTGTTTGGCTAAATTTTTATAAAATGAATTACCTGAACTCTGAGGAAGACAATGCATTGTGGATATATAACTAATATTCTGGCATTCCTAATTTGAATCATAGTGACATTTTCAAAGTACATTTGGGGACCTTATCATTGTTCTAATGCACAACTCTTGTGTGCCCAGCAGGATTAGGCATGCCTGGAGCCTACCAGCAGCCTATGTCCACCAGCATGCACCAGGCTCCCACCAAGCAGAGTAGACTCACCAGACTGCTTGTATTTGGTATATCCCGAAATCTGTCCAAAGTTTGAAATTTCTGATTCAGCTCCTGAAACAGTTCCATGTGCCTCTTCCTTGTATGCATAACCTTCTGCAAAAGAAAACAGGATGGCTCTCATTCCCAATTTGATTTATATATTTTAAAAAAACTATCTAATATTTTTGACTGAATAATAGGGAAAGCAAGTTCAGCAGGAACCAGGAATCCCAATGAATGCCACAAATGCAAATGACTTGCACCAAATCCTTATATACAGCATTTCTTGAAAAGGAAGAAATGTTTTTTTCTTCCATTTACAAGATTACCCAAAATAGTTTTTTCTTGTGAGTGCATTAAAAATGTAACAGTCATTCCTGTGTGAGATTTTCATCACTCAAAAGTTAAATCTGTTTCACAAAAATTGCTACAATATTTAAAAGATGTTTAAAATTTGGACTTGTAAAGCACCTGAGTCTCTGATGTTTGTCATGGGAAATATTACTTTTTTATGTTTTATTTTTATAAACACTAAAATCCTAGCTGGCTGTACTAAAGGGGGAGCAAAATCCCAGGCCCTGCCGTTAAGGCTGACTCAAAGCACTGAAGTGTCTGAAATATATGTAGGATCTAAAACCTTGCACTTTCCATGTGAATAATGATTGAGCTTTGCAGAAAGAAAATCTGACCCATAGGTTTCATATATTTGTATATGAGATGGCACAGAATCTTAACAATTAAGGTTCAGAACATAAATTATATGGTTGATGAACTTCTAAAATCACTAATATATTGATACCCTCAACCTCTGGTTCTCTCAACTTCATTATAACTAGAAAATGGAGTCATAAATAAAAATTATCTTGGGGTAAGTATCATAGGCTGAATCTTTTTCTATTATGGAGCATTTAAAAGAGTACTAAAAAAGAAGACTTAGATAATAAATTCCCTCTAATCACAAGTGTTATTTAAAAAAAGAAAATAACTTTCTCAATTTTGATTTTTAAGTTATAAATCAAACTTGGTGAGTCTCCAAGATTATGCCTTCATGTTTGTATAAGATTTTACAGATTCTTAAAGCATATGTATCACAACTCACCATTTGCTCATGTGGTTTGCACAGGTATATTATATCCATGAATAAACTATGATTTGAACATTTGGTCCATTGTTTTAATTAGCAAATATTTTCAAAGTAGGAATTTGTTTTGAAAAAGAAATATATCTTTGGGGAAAGATCTGTAATGCTTAATTTTCTTCCAAAAAGACACTTTACTTCCTTGAGGGGAAAAAAAGGCATAGAGAAAGGCAAATTCAATCTTTAATATGTTACAAAAGCCTATTCTCTCCAATGCAAACTTTCTATATTTAATGAATATGTATCTAGGTCATTCACTGTTAGGCTAATTTCTTCTATTTTTACTAGCCTATTTTTATGGGAGAGAATTCTGCCATTTTGTGTCCTACAATAACCAGTTTCCATCTTTGCTCCTCTTAGGGCTCTAAGTTGGCTGTTGAATCAGTTGGTTGAGGATGAGAACATGGCAACATTACTCATGATGAGAACATGAAACATAGAAAGCAATTACAGAGTGATTAACGTCCCATCAGTTTTAAAGAGAACACATGAAACAGATTTGCAGGATTTACAGAGAAAAACACCAGGCAAACATAATTTGACTAGTGATGACTGATGGAGATTTATGAGAGAGAGGATTTACATAAGCAACTCAATGGAGGGATTTTGAGGACTGTGTAGCTGGCAAATGTAATTCAGTACATTCTGTCCTTGGGGAGACAAGTACTTCCATGTAGTACCAGGTCCTAAGACACTTATTAAAATGTGGATTTGTTTCACAAGGAATACTTTACAAATAAAAACAAAACAAAACAAAATAAAAAATGCTGTTAGAATACTGGCTCTGCCTCTTAAAAATCTCATTTTCATAGTAATGAGTATTACAACACAATTATTTTCTTCTACAGTGCAGTATGAGTGACATCATACCACTGATATTTCTCTAGGCATATTTCATTCTGTTGTTTTATATATATATATATATATTTACAAATACCACATATTATGCTAGATTCTAGGTTAATGATAATGAAAAACATTTGATTGAGTTACTGTCCACTAGTAGCTAGTAGTAGCAGCTGAAATGGAAGGAATAGGCATTAATTGTATAATAATTCGAAAAATAAAAATTTATAACTATGTTAAAGAAATTATGGTGATACAATGAGAGTAAGTTATAGATGAATTTGTTAAGATGAATGCAAATAAAGCACATTTAAATTGAAAATCCTCAAATTAGTTATTCCCATGATCTTATTTGCCTATTTTCTCTTCCATTTTCTTGAATTCAGAGAATTTCTAATTCAATTTTCAATCCTATGCCTGAATTTACTCTCCTCACTGAGATCTTTACTTTTCAAAGACAAAACATTCATTTTCTTCTGAGCTCTGATACCAAAGGCACAGCACCTTTATTTTGAGATAGGCATCTGATGATTTTCTTCTGTGCAGTCTCCATTTATCTGTCAACATATGAGAGCATCCTGTCTTTGTTTTGGGAACTCTCCCTTCCCATGTTGCTGGAAATGTCAATCAAATTCCCTACTTTTCCCTGAGCAAGAGTTGAATTATTCCATATCTTTCCAATAGAGTTCTCTGTTAGACAAATATCTCTTCATGTTTCTTATAATCAAATGCCTCTATTATGTAAAGCATTTTTAAGAAGCAAAACAAAGGTCAAATATGTCCCACTATAAAAGAAGTACATTAAGTAATTGGAAATTTTGTGGTCATATTCTGAATGAATGAGTAGAATTTTATTCTGAATTGGATGGATTTTATTTTGAGGCATTGGATTAATAGTACATATTAAAAATATACAAGGAGAATATAAAGTTATGGTAGTTACTAATATTATATAACCAAAATACATTTTAAAATATTTCACTTAGTTTCATGAAAACTATTCTGATAATAAAGCTCAAGAACCCTGAAATGATTATGAAAGCCAATGAAAAATTGGTATGCTGAAATGTAGGGCTATTCCTACTTACAAAAATTAATTGCAAATATATTCTCATGTCAGATAATCATTCTAATTTGAAACTGCAATTTTGATACTGCCAGAAATCACCATAGCAATGATGGTCTGGCATGCTGGCAGAAGTATCATGTTAGTACAGCCATTGACAGCTCACATCTCTGACATGGGCTCAGTTTGATTTTCTATGCACAATTCCTACTTGTTCTCTGGCTCAAGTCTTCCTGACTTTACAATGTGGAAGATGGCATTGATAAAAACACCATCTTCACAGTGAACATTGGAGGGTTTCTAACTCAGCAACACTCTGGGATTAAAGTTCAGCTGTGGTTTTTAGTTTTCACAAATATTGAAATTTACTTCTTATTTATTCACTCCTGTGAATTTTTACTTGTAGTACTCAAGCCTTTGATGGTCTTTACCTAATTAGAAGTTTTCATGCTTGTAAATGTATTGGTATATTTCCATGACTATTTTTTCATTTTTACTGACTGTAGGATTTGTCAGTTTACTGATTTTCTTTTTTTGTGTGTGTGTGACTTAAACATCCTGTTCCCCAAAGAAATTGACTTCTATGAAAAACCAATTTAGACTTGTTTTCTAAAATCATGTAATAATGTTAAAACTCAAAAAAAATCTATTTAAATAAATAAAACCTATTCAGGTTTCTTTTGTTTTAATGCCCATGAAATACTTCTGTGATAAATCTTTTGTAAAAGATATGTGTGTAGTAATGTTCCTTTCCATTCAGATTAACATCATTCAACATTTTGTTTGAAGCTATGTGTGAACCCCTATCCCAATGAGCCATCAACCTTATTGCAAAGAAATGTGCTCTCTGAGCAGCTTATTTTATAGGACTTTGTTCTTTCAATTTATTTTTGTAAATCAAAAGAGGTAGTGTTTAAAACCCTTTAATTGTTAGAGAAAAAGTGGGAAGTTATGAAGCACATTCATATTTAGGATATAGTATATGCCCTAAGTTCCTAAGAACTCTCCTAAACCCTTTAAGTACCTGAAACATGCTAAGTCTGATGGCTCTGGATGCAAGCAAATTTATGTTGAGATCTAAGTTCTATCACTTTTAAGTTGTGTGTCCTGCAGTATGGAATCCAAACTTATTTAGCAGCAGTTAAAGTAATCAGACTTACATTTCAGAGTTATTTTGAAGACTTAAACAAGGTTATAAAGCACTTACAACTGAACCATACAAATAAGAGCCACTTAAGAAATGGCAGCCATGATTATCTTTCTTAATTCTCACAATAACCCTGGGAGGTGGGAACCATTATCTCCACTTTAGTGATTGGGAGACTGAACCTCAAGGAGGCTATGGTTCCCAGACAAGGGGTGAGAGAGCTGAAATTCTTTCCTAAACCCAACTCAGTTCCCTTTGCATGCTGCTATCTTATATGTATCTCATAGATTTGGAAAGTATCTTCTCTTAGGCTATTCAGGTTTGTGATTATGCCCTGTTCAGAAGGAAAATGATCTAGGGTGGTTTAGGTGCCCTCTGTAGTGAGGCCATATTTCCTACAGATGTTGAATACACTACAATTATCTCAGAGTATTGCAATATCCTGTCTCTGAACACATCATGGGCAATGACTTATTCATCTTTGTATCCCTGATTCCTAGCACAGTATTTGGTATTCAGCAAATGCTTAATCAATATGCACTGAACAAATTAAATAAATGGGACAGCAAAAGTATACAGGGAAGAAATTGCCTGCAACATGTTAGGATATTATAAATTTTGTCTTCTCTGTTTCTATCAAAGAGGTCTCCCCATTGGAAGGAAGGTTCATTTTAATGACTCCAGATAGGAGCCCTTTATCTTCATTCTGAGTCCAGAATTTTCCATACAAGTGCTTCATAAAAGATCTGTAGGTAGTCTTAGAACAAAGTGGTTAGAGGTTTCACATTTAAATTCAGAAGTATAAGTCATAGAGTTGGATTTAAGTCTGACTTAAAAGAGTTATTACTGTATATGAAGTTTTAGAAAACCCAGAGAAATCATTAAGAGAATGGTAGAGAATCTGTTAGGTGTAAACTTTAGAGTTTGAGGCCAGAAATCATGCTTATAGGAATTAGAAGCCAGTTTGGCTGGATTACCTTTTCCAGCTTTAGAATTTTATACATCTACTGCCATTGTCCATATCCATTAGGATAAATCTGTGATTATTTTTCTTCTTTATTGTTTTACATATAAACTTTCCAAGTGAGCTTTTGAATACTGGTCTTAGATGAATGTCACAACTCACATGTAAGAAAGAAACACACTGAAGGAAGTAAGCCTAATTCTTAAAGCTGTATTATAAGAGGGGGATGATTCATGTAACTTTCCTTGGCCAGAGTACAAATGTGTCTGTAAGATGGAACCTGTACCCCATGAGCAATGCCTGACATTACAGGGTCTATATTTCAAATATATTCATATATGAATAAATCTGTACCTAGGCCCTAACTAGACAAAGCGGCTATAAAAATGAGTTGTATGTTTCATATTTTGTTATAGTTGATCAGGAGTCTACTTGGTTGTAAGTACATAATTTTGTAGCTGTTTAAATTTAGTGATATAGAAAAACTGAATAATTCTAGGCCTAAACTATTCAAAAATTTTGGTCTCCAAAAGTGTCTTCTGACAGTGCCTGATTGCTTAATGGAATGCACTTACTGCTGGGGGTCAGGCACAACAGGAAGGGACCTTTTGCCGTCAAGCAGTTTTTTGAAATCTTATATATACACCTTTAATGCTATAGTTTATCTGTATTTGTAGTGCTCCTAATTCTTTTTTCTCTCCCTTCCATTCAGTGGAATTCAATGGAATGTGTTTCATGGTCTTTTACCCTATATTCAATTAAGGACTAAGTTCTATAGATTCTACCCCTATAGTATCCCTTCATCACTTTATTTTCCTGCCACCTCCAGGAAATGGATCTTCAGTGCTGCTTCCCTCATTGGTATTTCAATTTCTTCTTTTTCCTCTACCACAATCTGACCTCCCTATTACTAACATTCATATTACTAAAGCCCAGATTATAGGAAAGCATTCCTTACTGAAAAGCAAAATTAAAAACAAAAAGCAAATGACAACAACAAAACCCAAGCAAAACAAAACGTAATGAAAGGCTTAACAGCTTTGGGCAGCAGATTAGGTAAAAAAAAAAAAAAAATCCTCCTTCCAAACCACAAGACATGAATTCTTTCCTTTCATAGACCCCATATCAGTGAATTTTGACTTGTTTCTTGTTTCTTGATTATGTCACATAATGGCCAACCTTGTTCTATGTCTTTTCCTCCTCTGGATTTCTATTTGCTACTTCTGTCTCATTGAGTTATATTTAATTTAACTTGTTGAAGTCCAACATGGCTATCTTTGGCATGCCACATTTATGATTAACCATTTTCTATAATTGGTATAGTATTCAACAGCTTTTTGCTAAAGTAAACTAGATTGCAAAATAATTGCTTTTCATCAATTCAGTTTTATTTTTTTGTTATTCTCTGCTTGGAGCAGAACATTTGGTCACAGAACATAGGAATATCACTACAACATTTTCTGAATACTTCCAAGAAAGAACCTATGTTTCTCCATTTTACATACTAGTTCCCCTTTTGTTCCGTTTCCTCCAGAAGTGCTGTGTTGTCCTGGAGACTGGAAAGACAAAATGGCTTTTTTTCTAGGTTTAACACTAACTAGTCATACAAGTTTAATTGTTATATGAGGTGTAACAAGATTATTATTATGTATACATTCTGTGGAGTATGTTAGGCTTAAAGCCTGAAGGGAAGATGCTTCCCAGAACCCAGGAGTCTGTCAGTGGCAAAATGTCTAAGTTGTTAACTATGGTAAAGCCTCCTGAGGGATGGGGTGTCAAGAATCTTGACATCTATTTGATTAATCAAGCCTAAATTTGGAGGGGGTCTTGGGTACTTTCTCAAGGCTATCAACAAAATTCAGATTGTATTAAAACTGAAATAGATTAATATGCATATATGAGTGTCGAGATAAACCCAAGTAATATGTATAACCATGAGGCTCTAAAAAAAAAGTCACCAGGATTTAAATATGGCAATAATTTTTCTGAACATAATCTATGAGAGATCTGCCACATCCCTGCAATTTCAATTCAGATTAATAGGTGTAGCACTAAGTAGCTGGCACAGAAAGAGAAGTACTTCGGAATTTTCCCCCAAAGTTTTCATGCAATAACTAGGAATTGAAGAGCTATAGAAAATGTCAGGGTTCTTGTGTTTCATGTTTTCTCTATTATTTGCAAATATTTTGTTAATACTGTGGTTTTATGTGTAGAATTTAGCCATAGAAAGAAGTATCAGCTTAAGGAAGCTGCTAACAGTTGCCATAGAGAATAGACAAAAAAAGAATAGTTTTTTTTTTTTTTGATGCTCCCAGGGACACAGTATGATTAGATTTCTTTTCAGTTTTTGTGATTATGTAACTTTGGTTGCTTGCTCTGAAGCTTAATTTTAGATCTAGATTTACTGTATTTTGTCATTGATGATTAGTGGGTTAATTTGCACCTCTTTTCCTTTGAATTAATAACAATTTATTGCTTTCATAAATATATATGTATATATAATATAAACACTCTACATGTATTTTATATATTTATGTATGATCATATATAAATGTATGTATATATACAAGTCCTCTATTTTTGGCTTCCTAAATTCCAAATAATTAATACAAAAAAGACCAAAAATATCTGTTCATTAAAAGGCACTAAAGACTCTAAAGGTAAGGATTGTTGAATAATTTTTATTTAAATTTATAGACTAGTATTTTATGCTAATAATTTAGAATACAATGAAATACATAGTCTGAATTATAACTGGAAAAAAATTTTCTTGGACTCTCTTTAGGGTAAAACCATTGTAACCCTCTAGTAAACAATAAAAGGTTAAGTGTTTATACATTATATGTCATACAATTTGTACTTTCTACATTGTAGAGCTACAACATTCATCTATCTAAACAAAATGATTAAATTAGGAGCTTTCATGTTCTAGAAAGCTTATGTAATTTTACAAATATCAGTTAAGAGAATTGAGTTCTACATATGCATCACAAGGGTACAAACATGCTGGAGAAATTTATATTATATCCAATTATGTCAGCAGGCTATGAATCATATCCAATTATCAAGATGCATAAGTGCATTTTATGTGATGCTTAAACATCATTAATTTTGTGCTTAGCATAAGCTGCTTAAATGGTATGATTTTAGTAACTTCTAGCATCAATATTGCAGCATCAATATAAATTCAATGTAAATTGGAAAATGAAAATCTTCATCTTGTTTATATCTGTGAAAAGACATTTACTAAACACAGGAGCACATTGAACTGATGCTTGCTGTTGGAAAAATGAATCTGAATGCACCACAGAGAACCTAAATAGTAGTAATCAGAACACAAAGCAAATAAGTCCCAGAGAAACCTAAGCTCACAGGATCCTCCAGTTAGTTGCCAAGCTAAAACCAAAGAAATTGTCTCAAATATAAAAATCAGGAAACCAACATTGCTAACCCCCCCAAAATGAATTGATCACGTTCAAATTCTATAATAAACTGACCACCTACCATTTACAAAATAGATAACTTGCTTATTTAGAAAAATGAAATTCAGTTTAATATACTTATAATAAAAAGAACATAAAAGTTTTTGTCTATAACTATCTCTATAGTATGGATTATAGTTAAAAACCTTGACTTATTTTATTAAATTTAGCAATACATCTACATACCTGTATAGATTAGTATGTTTAAATAATTACACATCAATTTTAATTAAACAATTAAGATTTTAAAATAATTTGTAGAAACTTACCTCAAAGTCAAGGTCTGAATATCGTGATTTTCTTCTCTGTTAGGGATTTAAAAAAAGAGAGAGAGAGAACACCAGTAAAGTTATGCTTAATCATTGAATAAAATTAAAGTTGTTATTTTTAATAAAGATAATCCTGTTTCTCTGCTGTACAAATTTTCTTCACATAAGAAAAATTTTCAGATTTTTATGATTTCAAAATATTCCATCTATATCATTCCATTTTTACCTCAAACTTCCTTTAAAGTGATGAGTGTAATAGAATATATTTCATCTTGACTTTTTATTCCTGATTTTCACTAAGGAGAGATCTTTCCCATGAAAATTCACATAATCATTCAATCTTTAAAGAGAACTTTATTTCTACTACAGAAAAACTACAGAGAGGATTCAAAGTTGTATCAGAAAAATCATCTAGGTACCTCAAGACCCCTCACCAACCAATATCCAGACTCCATTCACCAAATTCTATCTGGTTCTCTAAGCCCTGAGTTCTGTGTAAATTTCATTCACACATTTCTCAGAATCTAATAGTCTTTCACAAGCAGAAAGTCCTTCTAATTGCTAGTCCTTAGAAATTAAAGTATTTATTTTAATTCATTGAAACAAACAAATATTCTATATCCCAGCAAAATATTCCAGTGTTCCTTTATGGCCCCAAATCTGTTAAATAGTCTCTGAATCTAGTTATATATAGACATACATTAATGAAATAAATTAATCAAGAAGTAAGTCTGATAAAATCAGGAAATATGATTAAAATGAAATTAATACAATCTCATGTGACAATATGATTTTCACGATGTGAGTAAAAGGAAGGTATTTGAAGCATCTACTCTAGGAAGCCCTAGTGTTCTTAGTAAGATTGATATACAGGGAGATGTCTGTTCCATGTGAAAAGAAAAAAAAAAAAAAAAAAGCCTCCAAATTTTTAGAGAGTATAATGAATTTCTAACATTCATTCTTTTTTTTTTTTTAAGTTGGCTTTTTATTTCATGGAGGAGTGGGATAAACATGGGAAAATTTAATAAATATTTAAAACAAATAATAATCAAACTGTGGAAAAACATGTAAATCTTTTAGCAAAATTATGCTTTATTTTTCTCCCTGTTCCCATCTCAACACCTATAATCTTAATTTCACTAACAGGGAATTTTACTCAAGACAGGTGGGAGACCCTATTCTCTGTTCCAACAGTTGAGCATTAGGAGAGACAGGAAAACACTAGTGTCTTGTATTGAAAACTTTGACTGATTTTCTGCTGCTAGTTTAAAATTGTCATTATAAAACCAGAACCTTCCTGTGTAACCTACTCATTCAAAGCATATATCAACAGAAAGAAGGTGATGTACCAAGAGGTTTTGTTTTAAAAAAGACCTGAAATAATTTTATTTAGGTAAAACTGTTGAAGATTATAATCCAGCCTTCAGAATGATACCAAAGGAAAAAAAATGAACAAAAATTGCTTTATTAAATGGAAACCCAGCATGTTGATCTCACTTGCTCCTTGCCTCCAAGAGCACCCTACCCTTGACTGGTGACATCCTGGAAGAAGAAAATGTGTGGGTAGGCATTTAACCCCGCCTTCTTTGCCATTTCCCTGCCTCTATTGTTATCTAACTGTGCTGTAGAAAAATCAGGCTCCAACATCCTGCACCACACTTTGCTGTGATATGCTAGACTAAATGTCAGTGTTTCCATGCCTATCTTGGATGCTTTGCCTTCTTGGCACTGTGACTCAGCAGGACATTTTTGTAAGTGTGCATTAAGCAAAATTCTTTCTTAATACAGCAAAATTCAATCATGAAAACACTCAGTTTCAAGCAATTATTATAAACATTAGTCATAGCTTTTTATTCCATTTGAAAATTAAATAGTGAAATATATATTTTTTTAAAGAAGGGTTCATTAGCTAGAAGAATAAGAGGGCCTTCTGCTGCATGCATTGAGGATTTCTCACTTGCCAAGGTGATAACAGCCATATGTTGCCCTGTTAGTTTCCGAATGCAAAGGCCCTGTTGCCTAAGAACTGAAAATGCTGAGGCATACATGTTGCTAAAGCCTTCATGTTATAGGAGCAATAACAAAAGACAGCAATCTGGGAGAACACCAGAGAAAGATTCTGAGTGTAGATGTCACCTATGTCAATGTGAAATATGGAAACGAAAATGGATACTCCCCTACAAATAGCACTTGCGCACTCTCGCTCTCTCTCTCTCCTATTTAATTTTATTAAAATTAAATTCTATTATGAAGGTATAGCAGAACTGACAGTTTTGAAGGATTAGGCCAAGGGATGAACAAATGAAGCAAAAAGATTTTAATCAAAAGAGCTTAAAGGTGGCGGGATAGTAGTGGATGTGAAATAAAGCAAAATGGACTTTAGAGTGGGGGAAAATGTGTCTGATATTTAAAGTCCAAAGGAGATAAATATTTGAGTCATTTTATTCAGGTCCCTAAAATACTGACTGAATGTTTCAACCTTTTGTAGTTTATAAAGTGCTTTCACACTTGAACATGTTAGCCATGCATTTTATGCATATGTAAAACTGAGGCCAGTAGAGTTAAAATAATTTTCCCACTTCATCTGGGTGGTAAGAAAATGAGCTGGGATTCTAGGGGAGATCTTCCAGCTGCAAATTCAGCTTTTCCCCCATTATCTCTTATTTTCTCAGAGACACTAGATAATATTTTACTGCCAGACGACTTGTGCCCCTTGTTCTTAGAACTCAGCAATAATGGCATTTGAGAACCCAGGCAGTAAGGAATGATAGTAGTAGGGCTGAGATGTTTTCTAACCTGAAGGCAAGGACAAACAGATCAGCTTTTGCATGTGTATTGCATTTTGAAGAATAAAAACATCCGTATGATATTCATTTCACAGGAAATCGGTGTTGAGTAAAATAACTTAAAAAATCATTTTAATATGATTTGGGTTATGAGAAATGCTACAATGGTAAAGAGTAGCAGGCGTTTCCACTCTTAGATATGACTCTCCCATTGCAAAATCTAGCTTATCTTAAAGAACTATCAGACCCTGGGAAATTGGTGGTGTAAGGAGAAATCAGAATGTCCACTTTTGTTTAGTGTTGGTCTATTTCCACATCTGGTATACAATGCAGCATTTTTGAAAGTCTTTCAAAGCACTTAGGTTTGTTGAAACTGTGAATAACCTTACATTGCTATTCAAATATTCTGAGCTCTGTGGATTGACATCATAAGGACGGAAAGTGGTTAGAAATAATGTTTATACAATTTAAAAACGAGAATCAACTATGAAAAGTGATTGTTATTGTTTTATATGAGGTGTACCCCAATAGTTCATGTGTGAGACAAAGCAAGAAGGTTTGGAGGAGAAATGATTGGGTTATAGCCTGAACTTAATCAGCAAATTAATCCCTGATGGGATTAAATGAGTGGTGACTGGGGGCTTGTGGGGTATGGTTCATTGGGTATGTGGCTCTGGAGTATATAGTTTGTGTTTGTTGAGTAGAGATCTCTCTCAGCTTTCTGATCCTCATGTGAGCTGCTTGCCTCTGTCATACTCTTCTGCCGTGTTCCTCCTCACCTTGAGTTCTGAGGAATGGAGCTGGCCTTCTAGATTGGAACCTTTGAAACCCTGAGCCCCCAAATAAACTTTTCCTCCTCTCCAATTGTTCTGGTCAGTCACAACAGCAAAAGAAAGTTACTAAAACAGTGATCAAGCCATAACAATTTTTCTGATGTTGATAATTGAAAAAAAAATTACATGTAAATTTCAAATAAGCCAGTGTAATATTAAAATATTTTATGAACATATAAATCCTTGTGTTACATATTCTTGATTTCCCAAATAATTTGAAATAAGTAATCTTTTTTGTCTTAGTAGATGACGTTTCTTCTGTGCTGTTTTCTCTTCCTAATTTCCCACTTAAAACTCACCCCAACTTGTATTCTATTCTTAAGACTCCATTTAAACTTTTCTTGTCAAAGGTCGCTAATGAGCTCCATTTGGTCAAATACCAAGGTCAATTTTCCATCCTCATCTTATTAGACTCTCAGAAGCTTTTGAAAGTTAATCACTTCCTCATTAAAATACTCATCATCTCTCAGCTTTTGCTTTTTCTTTCTTCCCTTCTCTCATTTACTGCAGCTCATTTTCAAGTTTCTTTGTTGGCTCTTCCTCATTTTTCGGCTTTCTAAATGACAAATTTCTGAGTTCTTTTTTATCTAATATTCTTCCTGGATAACACAATTCATCCCCAGGAACTCTACACTTGCAGTTTCTTTAGCCTAAAACATTACCTTACCCTCCTGTTCCTCATAAGTCATGCTTTTTCTCAATAAGATTTCTTACTGCTTTATACTTCCAAAGACTTTACCCACCACCATGTCTAATGAAGTCTTTCCTTCACGTTGTATGGTCATTAACCGATACAGCATAATGTTTTAAATTACTCTTTTTTAAAAATGGTTTGTTGGCTGTCTCTCTGTAGAGTTTATTCTCTCTCAGGACTGGATCCATGTCTATCTTAACCATTTATGTATCTTCAGCATCTAGCAGAGGGTGTGGCACATTCATGAAATTATAATAGACCAATGATTTAAGGAGCTGAAATACGGCAGCCAGAAAAGTTCAAAAGAATGTGACTTTTTGCTCTTGTTTTGTTGTAGTTGCTTTTCTCAGGAATGTTCTCATATAATTCAGGTAAGCAAATGGACTATATACACAAAGGAAAGCATTTCAAATAGATTGACAGACAGTCAAGAGAATCAAGACAGTTTACAGGAAGGCAAGCTTATCACTGGTAGAAGGGAGAAATTCTTTAGGATTATTTAAAAGTCAGAAAATACACCATAGTGTCAGGATACTCAGAGTAATACTTAGGGAGCGCATGCAGAGAAGCAACTCAGCACTTCTAACTCTTGTAAAATGATGAATAATTTCTCAGAGGAAATGCTTCATTGTTTGTGTCAATGCAAATTAAGCTGGACAAGACACTAGAAGATTCACAGCAAGTAATAAATTCCACTGACTAATGAATGGCAATATGACCACTATTAAAAGTTTCTATTATGAGTGAGCAAAGAACTCACTCACAAGGAGAAAGCTTTGATAGCAAATTCATTAAAAATAGCTGTGGTAATGATGTCTGAAAGTAATTAGTTTTCTAAAATGATTTTTATTCAGGGTAATTTTGTTTGTATGCCTATATAAAAGATAAAATTCCCTAATTCAGGAACACAAACAAAGACGTGAAAAAGGGAAAGCCTTGCTTTCATCAGACCTACATGAGAAAAATATAAAAAAGAAAAACTTGTTTCTGTCCATGGTCAGTTTTATAATGGTTTCTGTTAGTGACAGAGACTCCTGGTTCCCAAGTGAGGCCATAACATTTTGTCTAATATCCTGAATCGATTTAATACAGCTTTCAAGCTTCTTTGCAGAAATTCAGGGCATAATGGTAATGACATAATAATAACACAACCTTACACCTCAAGTGCTCCTTACAATTTTCAAAGGTTTTCATGTACATTACATAATTTGATTCTCACAACAGCCATAAAGGAGGCACCTATGAAGTGACTTTATTGCTAAAATATTTTACCTTTAAAAACCATTATGCTGAGAGCTCTATAATTCATGTCCGGGAAGAAGCAATGTATAAAAATTTAGCCTAGAATGTATCTCATTCCACCCATTTAAAATTTGAGGGTGACTGATCTGAGAATGTTTTCAGTGATACAGGTAATTTTAAATATAAGCTGAATAGCAAAACGCACTGGTTTTGATAAAATAATTTTGTAATGTACTATCTAACCCTTATTGGTTATTCAAATATCTTCATTAATAAGAAAAATTAAGGCAAGATTTGTCAGAACAACAGAAAACATTGAATGTATTTATATTTGAGCAAAATGTTCCACAAGAATTCAAATGATAGAGGAGCTAAGAAGACGCATACTGAACTATGGGGTAAACAAGGCATTAGCAGAAGTAGCCAGTGTGCCCCCTAAGATGGACAGACAAAGGGAGATAGCAATGTAATTTGAGCCCAGGGATTGGAATACCTGGCAGAAGCAGGAAGTGCCCTGGGAGCTGCAGCTAGAGAGACACAAGGTGCAGCCTCAAAGTAGAAAGAGCAGGATAAAACTAGTTTCTGTCTTTTCCTCAACCCCCATCCTCTTCCCAGTGCTTCCTGTTTGACTGAATCTAACCAGAAGTCTGTGACACAGCCTTGTATTAACCCAGAGCTATACAGGGAAAAGAGGTGAAGAGTGGATCATATGCCAAACAGGCCTAGGACATGCACAGTTACAGGCTATTGAATAAATATTTTTCAATGATTCAAAGGAAAGTATAAACCTGCCGTCTTACAATAATACACTCATAATTTTTCAGAAAATAAATCAGTAGAATTATAATCCAAGATTTAAAAGTTGTCACATGCATGAGAACCACCATCCCTCTTTTGTTCCCTTATTCCATGTTAAAAAAAAAAAAAAAAGTGTTTTTTTTTTTTCTTTCCTGCCTACACATACCATGGACTTGCCACACTTCATTAACTAATTGAAGGTGAATGACTTAAAGTGCTGATTATAATTTCATTCTTAACCTCACTCAAAGTGGCTAGAGGACTTCTAGGACTTGAACCATTGTGAAAAAAAAAAAAAATCTGCCATATTAATACTGCAATTATTCCATACTTAGAGGAACTTGAAACCTGAAAATTTCAGAATTGCTTAACAAGTCCATTCTGGGAATGACCAGAGTGAGGAAGACAAAAAATTTCAAGAAATAAAGAAACAAGGTAATAGTGGGCGTGGCGATAACCTAGATACACTTTTATACTCAGAAACTTCAGGAATCTGTTCATTGTTTTACATCCAATACCTGGGGGTGAAGTGAACAAACTCCCCTGGGGCTGGAGGCTCTCCTGCTGGCACTGCCTTTCCTGAGAGCCTCCTCCTTTCCTTGTTGCCTCCTGCTAACTTGAATAAACACTTCCACCCACTCGCCCCCTCCAGTCTCTCTGGCTTTCTTTTTATTTTCTACCTCCACTCCTGTTTTTTCTCCCTTGCACTTTTCTCATGGATACTGAATTCAGTGCTATTGCTGGGGGATTTTACCCTCTTCTTTTTCTCTTCTTTTGATGTTGGCAATTTGTGAAAACTCACTCTTTTGGAGTCCAATTCCTAAATCAATATACCCATCTTTATAATATATCCTGGAAAAGATCGTGAGGCACCTGGCCATCTTCTGATGTGCCAGCTCCCCAGGGTGGATATTCCTGTGGGTTTAATCTTCCTTCTCACTAAGAGGTGTCAAAGACCCAAACTGTTTTATTTCTGTAGGCTTCATCTAATCCACATGTTCACTTACTTTTGTCTTCCTATTATTTTCCAAGACCCAAGAAACTTCATGACTACTGTTGATCCTCACACTGCATGAGGATGCTCCAGTCATCCTTTTGCTTTTCCTCTATCATTGTCAAAATACCATCTTCCTCACTGTTGGGCCTGCAGATGCCACCTAACAAAGCTGAAGACTCTACCAGATAATGCATTGCTTAGGTCAAAAAGAAAATCACGCCACTGATATTTTATCTCCATGGATCACAGTCTCATCTCTGAAATCTGTGAGCTATACGTATTTACAGGACAGAAAAGGACTTTATCCATTTTGTGTTATACTCATCATAAGACTAAGTGTCTATCAGGGGTTAAAAAGAACATTAAAGTTATCTTCATGCTAATTTTCAGGCTCATTACTGTCTCTTCTGGACAGCATAGATTTGATCAGGACAGAAAGATTCTACTCCTAGATTTGCTACGTACTCTCTCTGTAACCTTGAACAAATGACTTTCCATTGAAGATTATAACAATTTATCCATTGCACAGAGGGCTTGTGAAGATTAATTAATTCATATTTTTCAGGTGGTTTGAGGATCCGCTAATGAAAGATGCTATATAAATGCTAATTTTTATTATTCATCCTCACATATATACATTCTTTTTCAGTTGTCTTCTAAAATGGTCACTCTAAGCAATTATTAACTATTATGGTTTTTAAAGAATGGAAATGAAGAATTAAATTTTCATTCTGAATCCCGAGTTTCCTTTCTTTTCAAGATGTAAGTCTGTCATCTGTAAGTCATTTAAATGCAGATCTTTTGGTGAGTCACAGTTACATATGATGCTTATACTTCATTATAAGCACACAGAGATTTGGAAAAATTACAAACTGAACAAAGCAGTACCTGGAAAATACAGTCTATTGTCCCAGCACACATAGTCTGTACAATATCAAGTCTAGGGAGGCTTGGGGACTTTTAAATGCTAAACATTTTTACAACAACCAAAATACTTTAATGAAATTCCATTCAAATCTCTTTAGTGCCTTTAAAAAAGCCATTCTAAATGTAAAACTTCCATATGGTCATTACGATTGCTTTTGATATTATGTTATTATATGCACAGTCACTGAAATTCCTCTTAAACACTTTTGTGATTTTGCATGAACATGTTGTAGTTTGTGATTAGGGAAACAGTAGTGACTTGGTGAATTCAGAAGAATAGAATGTTTTTGTCCAAAGAAAAGTTCTGACCACTCTGGAGTTGAACTTGATTGACCTCAGTGCCCCTGTCCATGCCTTTGGTTCTGGGAAATGACTCCTATCTGGTTAGCCTCAGAAACCCTGTTCTGCTTGAAGATGATCCAGAATTTAGGATTTTCTCTTAAACTCTATTCATATTCCCATTTTGGTCTAGAATTTTCTCAATCTAGTTGAGAAAATCCTTAAATTATTCAGCATGTTTCTTTATCCTCTCAAGATGTCTCTTTATTATGATGGACTAGAAGGCATGGGTTTTGGGGAAAATGAAGAAGCAATTATCTCTGAGCTCTTTTGGACACTGAAGAGCAGGCAACCGAAGATAGTGTCTTTCTCTAAATATTGTCTTATACAATAATCTACTAATTAAAACAATTGGCAATAAGTCAAGAAGAATGCATAAATTACATTGTATACTGAACATATATTCCCATAACAGGCTTACAGTAAAACTTCAAGGTAAAGGATATAAAAGCCACATACAAATCAATAAGAGAATATATGTCAGTAGAAAATAAGACCTTATACGTCTTGGATCTTAATTGATTCAAATACAATTTGAATTATTAGCTACTCTCTATGTTGAGCAGAGAAAAGTTTTTACTTCTATTGGACTCATGAAGCACAAAGGCCATGTGGTTGGGCCTCAGAATCCTGATTCTTAGATGTTTACATTACATCTTTTTTGTTAATTCATAATTTAAGGCCACAAATTTCAGTTGTCATCATCTGCAAGAGTTAGAAGCAAAACATTTACTCTGAAAAATTATGTAATGTAATAATAATTTATTTAAAAAATCAGTGTGATGGTGGGACTCAGAGAAATATTCTAGTTTCATTATTTTTAACAGGTGCCCTTATACAAAAATAACCCAGATCTTGGTTTAACTTTGTAATGCCATCCAGATACAACTTTACCCACCAAAAAAGACCTCTGGTACCTAAGAAATAACAGGAGGATTTTTAATTTTTTTTCTTTATGACTGTTTGACTTGATTCCCATTACAAAAGAATTATGACTGAGAGGTGTCATTTTGAATATAGTGGAATCTTTAGTTTTTAAGATCATCTTGAATAAGGATTCTGATGAACTACTAGAAAAACCCTATGTCCAGAATCTGGAATCTAAATATTCTAATGCCAAAAATTCTTAATATGACACATATCCGGAATAGCTAAGTCCTTCTCCAACACCAGTGTCCCATGATTATATATGTCACAATTATATATGTCATATATGAAAGAAAGATTTAACTTCTTATTGCTCACCTCTAGAGAACTCATGGATATCGTTGATCCAGTTTCACTTCTTGATAGTCCTGCATTATCATCCAACTCAGAGGCCATGAAATTCTTCACAGCTGTGCGAGGCTCAAAGGGCAAATTCTGCATATGTTCCTGGGGTGCAAGATGTTGCTCTAAGTTCATATTGAACTGGTCCATTACAGGGGGATTCATATTGAATTCAGGATTCACTTTGTAGTGCAATAACCTTTCATGCGGCAAGGTTTCCATGCCAATATTCATTTTGCTTTCCTCTTTCATTGATGGCTGGGTATTTACAGAACTTCTGGGCATCACAATATAGTCACTTTCCATCATTCTTTCTTGAGGATGGACGATGTCCATATCGGCCCCTCTTAAATTGTCATCTGTACATAGGTACACAGTTCTCCGCAATTCACTGTTCTCTTTTTTCAAACATTGATTACCCAGCTCATTCATACTCATGGGCATATGCAGACCTGTGGGTTGCTGGATGATGACTTTGGAAATTACATTTCCTGGCAATGTTGAATAGCTCAGCCCTTCAGGGTTTGTTCCCTTTTCTTCCTCATCGTCATTTAGAGAAATCCTGGAGAGTGTTCCTGTTATTGTTGCTGCTCGGCAAGGGCCAATATCCTTATGAAGAACTGTGAATTAGGGCATAATAGTTCATAAAAGAAAAGTTAGTACTTATTATTGTATGCTATTATTCTCTCTTCCCACTAAATTACTTTAATAAATTTAAAAACAATCATTTAAGAAGTTATAAATCTACTTGTTTGCTCATGGTCCTGATTACTCAGTCCTTACTTATTCTGTCAAGCTCTCATAGCTCACTGGGAGCCCATAGTCAAAGCATGTCTGAAAGCTGAGTAACTAGCTTTCAAACACCTCAGCTCTCTGTCCTTCAACAGCTACATGTGACTTTTCAAGGGACAGGTAGAGTACCAGAGAAGTTTACTCCATCAATCTACTCCAAAAGAGTTTATGAAATTATGAATATATTCACATAAATTTGATTTCTTTTAAAGGCTTTCCCCCTAAACTGCTGGAGAAGTTTTTATTAAAATAATTATTAAAAGAGATAATCAGTGGGAACTTTATCCTACTGAGTTAGAAATCCTCCAAAAATTATGCATGTTGAAAACTAATCAGCATTTATCCATTGAAGTGTCTGTGGTAAAGGTAGATACAGGATTGAAAAGAATCTGTCCCATTAAGCTACATAGAGGAGGCAATAAAAGGATTGTCGTTATCATCATTGTCTTCTTTTTTACAAGATCAATCTATAGGTGAAAATGCCCTTGAAAAGGAGGCCAGGTGTTAAAATTGAGTTCAAGCAGAAAAAAAAAAAAAAAAAAAAAACTATATAAGCCATTCTATTTGAAACATGAAAAAAATAAGTTATTTAGGGAAAAAATGGGGGTGGGGTGGGATATGATCATCACTATGATATAAAAGGGAACAAAATGAAAAACAAACCAACCCAAACTAAAGCAAACAAACCAAAAAGGGTTCAGAATTCTTTATTGAAATATATTTTACTTTTTTCCCACTTTTTTTTTTTTGCGTCTGTATAAAAAGAAAAAAATGTGGATAATAGAGATAGAATATCTTAAAGCATGCTTAACTATGTACAATTACCTGTTTTAAGTATAAAGAAAAAATGCTAAAAATATATTCTTGGTAAATTTGGTATTGAAATGCCAAGATTTGCCAGGCACTGTGGCACATGCCTGTAATCCTAGTCACTCAGGAGGCTGAGACAGGAGGAGGATCACAAGTCTCAGGCAAGCCTCAGCAACTTAGAGAGGCCCTGATTAAAAATAATTAAAAAATAATAATAAAAAGGACTGGAGATTTAGTTCAGTGGTAGAGCACCCCTGGCTTGGATCCCAGGAGTCGAAGGGGGAACAAAGAATTGACCTCAGGGCTGAGGATGTGGCTCAAGCGTCCCTGGCATGCGCAGGGCACTGCACTGGGTTTGATCCTTAGCACCACATAAAATAAAATTTAAAAAAGATGTTGTATCCACCAAAAACTGAAAAATAAACATTAAAAATTCTCTCTTGCTCTCTCTCTTCTCTCTCTCTCTTAAAAAAAAAAAAAAGAATTGACCTCAGCAAGAGTTGGCACAAGGTAAATGGTGACAGCAACCTTGTCTACAATGTAGAACAACCTCATTTAAAATTTCACTAGGTATAGATAACTACCGAATAAATAGTAATATAGAATTGGTTTATAAAACCATGAATAATTTTAGATATATTGAATTTTACTTATTATCATCCAGTTTTCAAGTAGAATGATAACTACTGCATTGACACAGAGGTGCAAAAGTAGGAAATTATTTACAAAGAAAAGACACTTTCAAGATAATTTCAAAACATACACCACTAGTGTGATATCTTAGCTGTAGAGATTTTACATCTAGTTATTTTATTATTATCTCTTTACTTTACACATGAAGAAACCATGATACATCTACACTTCTGTACTTTTTACTAATCCACAATATGGTTGTGGATTTTTGTACTTTACCATTGGTCTTGTATGGGAAAGACATAAAATGACTATATTTTAAGAAGTTATTTCTAAGCCTCTTAAAATAATAATATATCAGTAATGAATTGTGATTTTTCAGAAGTGATTATAAATGAAAAAATTAAGTGGAAAAGTATGTTAAATCAATAGTAAACACATTTAGGGAGCTGGGGTTGTGACTCAGCGGTAGAGTGCTTGCCTAGCACGTGCAAGGTGCTGGGTTCATTCTTCAGAACCACATAAAAATAAATAAATTAAATAAAGTTATTGCATCCAACTACCACTAAAAAAATTACTTAAAAAATACATTTAAAACATTTCCAAAGTCAGGGAAGAATACATTTAGTTTTTTATAAAAAATAATTCCAAACTTATAGCAGCAGAATTTAGAGGAAAGTTATAGAAATATATCATACTGTATTAAGGATGTATTATTAACTTCACATTTTTATTACAATCTTGTAAACTATAAAGGAAGTCTTCATAGTGAGTATTGACTTTATAAAGATGAATTTATATAATACACATTTAGTTTTATACAAATGTAATATGATCTATAGTTATAGTCAACATTTTTAAACTAATGATATAGCCATGCTTTACTGAAAATTTGTATATATTAAATATTTGGGGAGAAATAATTTTTCTTAGGAAGTAGTGTCTATATGAGAGATATGTCTGCCTCTTAGACTTGCTTAAAATATATTCAAACATACTTCCTATACAAGAAAACAATGTTGAAGTAGGACTTTTGAGAAATTAATCAAGTTGTGAAGAGCAATACAGAAACAAAAAACAAACGGAATGAAAAAGCACCTGTATATTTAGCATAGTCAGATGCATAATCCAGCCTTTGGGGAAATGAATTTCTACATTTAGAGAATTCAAGAGATATTAAATTGAGATTTTAAAACTGAATATATTTTAATGTGGACAGATATCTCTTGAGCTCAGTCACAAAGGGCATTGATTGAAGTGAAAACAGAAAATAAATTTTGGGAAAACTTATTTTCTAATAATACCATGATTATTGGCCTTCATTAGGAATTCAACATCCTAGAATCCACTTGAAGCCTTGGGAAAATGGACAATTTAACAAAAGAGAGAAGGATGTGTACTGAAGGGGTGAGACCACAGCTTGGGGAAAATCATCCAATTTAGTGGTTCTTAAACTTGAGCATGAATTACATGAATGAATTACATGAATGATGGGTGAAAACACTGGCTACTGTACCCCCACCTTCATAGTTTCTGTCCCACAAGATTTGGGGCAGGGCTCTAAAATCTGCATTGCTAATAATTTCTCAGGTGATGCTAATCCTGTGAGTCTGAAAACCATACTTGACAACCCCTGGTTTTATATGAATAGCTATTGAAGAAAAGACAAAATAGTCCACTCTTATATTGCTTCTCTGTCAAGGAGAATTGTGAGGAGTGTACTAAAAGAGGCTGAAAGGAACCTAAATTAAAAGTGGAAAATTAGGAATTAAACTTCCTAATTAGCTAATTATTTAAATAATTAGATAGCTAATTCTGTTAAATAAATTCAAGCTTTCAGATTCAAACAAATCACTTCCAATTTTAAAATATAGATGTGGAAACTAGCATCATAGTAATTTTTA